TGTTAGTAATGTGAATAAAAGATAGTTCAGTCACGTCATATCTTGTGCAGAATGTTATCTATATGTATTCCATTTGAGCCCTTGGTGAAGGGTTATACCCTTGGTAGTTTGTTTGTTTGGACAATGTCAAGGCTTCATATTTTATAGTGTGCTTTTATACTGTGCTTTCTTCTTCTTGTAAAAGGCTTCAGATATGTTTTCTTAGGGTTTATGTTTAAATCCATTTTCTCATATTTATGGCGTTTTATATTTGATTTGACAGTGTCATCGAATTTCGCTTTTATGATTTTTTCCAGAGCTTTTATTGTAGAAATTGCATCACTGTGAACAAAAATTCAGCAAGTTTTGGGATAAATGTTTGGGATGGAAAAAAGGAATTTTTTCTCCTTCTTTTTTTACGAGGGTTCGTAACAGCATAGGTCATATCAACCCTCAGGGAGCCGGTGTTTTTGACAAAAGCCCATTTGTAAGTATGTCGGGTTCGAATGCAGGGTCGCTGGATTCGAACCCGGGACCTTTACCTTACAGTGATGAGCGCCGTGTCAACGCCTAAACCGTTGCGGCCACCGACGCCCCCTGGAAATATTTTTGAAATACTATTATAAAAAATAAATGATTGGATGTAGAAGTGATTTGATCTAATTGTAATTCCTAAAATTTTCGTACTTTCTGATGATTAAAATCAATTTTAATGTATTGCAAATATATTGGAAGTGGTCCTTGTATATTCGTTTTGCCAATTCAATAGGTTTGATTAATTTTAATCAACGTCATATGTCTTATTTTGTTAATTGTTTTTTCTTTATTACTTTTATAAAAACAACCTGAAATTGTGGGTAAATAGTGGGTAAAGTGTAATAAAATTAAATACAGTTTTTTATTAACTAGGGCGCTCTTGTCATCTGTGATGGAAGGGGGTGGAAATATTTTGCATTATTAATCAGCTTGTATATTAATATATCGATTGAATTGTGTACGAGTCAGAACAGAGTAAAAAAGGGTTTTGTATTTGCTTGGCCGTACGTCAACAATTTATTTATAGACCTGTGAGAAAGTCGAATTATCCGGTACGGCAGGCAGGCCTTGCGGGCGATGTCGACCGATTTTATTTCCGATCCCACGGGAGCGAAAGATTAAAATCCATCATTATCGCTACTCTGTGAGACAGTCGACATAATTTTTATGACGGTCGTAAAATTCGATTTGGGCCAGATGAAACGGCGGATCTGGCCTCGTGTTGGTTGAGGGACGAGAGTGCAGTTTCGGATTTCGGGCCTAATCACTGTTTCCCGTGTGCATGTTAATGTTGTAATTATGTCAGGCTGTTATGTTTTGGGTATGCGTTCAGCCGACTCTAATGCTATTTTCGGAGAACATTTCGCCTGTGCTAATAACGTGGGGCTAATAACAATGTTAACGCACTATGACGAATCTGTCATCTGCATATCCAAGTGGCAATGTCGTTATTTTGCACAATTACCTTTTAATAATTAAAAGCTTGTAAATATATGACGAATGTTTCGAATCTCTTAGCCATTCATATGAAATATCAGTGATGGTTTCAGTTCAAAATATAAGCTACAGATAAAAAAAAGAACGACAATAGTTGAACAACTTAAAATAGAATACTTGTATTTATCACTTTAGCTCTATTACCCTTCTCCTGTGTTTGTTAAAGTTAAAGTTGATGAAGGTTTGGTGGTTTGTTGAACTTGGTCAGTGACTGGTGCAAAGACATAACGGACCAACACCCACCAACAACAGTTATTTATTTATATAGGTTCAATTCTGCACATATGTGTATGTACGCATAACCAGACTTATGACTTCTTGCGGCATGTAGTGAGAATCACCCACCGGGTAGGTCCTACTCACAGTAAGTTGTTTTCCAACGATCCGAATTTCGAGCCCTTAGCTCATCGTCAGGTTGAAGGATTTCTACAACGTCTCTCAACATGAATTACAAAAGTGAACCCGCCGATACCCCCGCCAACGCGACGTTCCAATGAGAAGATGGTTTTTTAATGGCGCTCAATTTGAACGTGCGAAAAGCGGAAATTATAACACAAATAAATATTATAATGGTAAATACTGTAAGAAATTAATATAATTAGTCGCGTTGGCGGGAGTATCGGCGGGTTCACTTTTGCAATTCATGTCGACAGAAGTGGTAGAAATCCTTCAACCTGACGATGAGCTAAGGGCTCGAAATCCGGATCGTTGGAAAACAACTTACTGTTTTACTATCTTTTTTTAAAAAAGGATTGAACACCACACTCACTCCATCATTGACTATTTCTAACACCCACCGGGTGTCTTCATTTATCCATACCATCACTGAAGGGGCTATTGACAAAGTCATTTCAGCCCACAATTTTAACCTAAACTCACTTAACCTCTTACTCATTATTAAATACATTCTGTCTTTTTTGCATAAATGTTAAATATTCCTCCATCAATTTTTAACTTATAAACAAAAACAACCCATAAACTAAGATTGAGATTAGAGATTTTTCATGGCCTGTGCACAGTGACCAGTATTGTATATTGCAGATCTTCATTGTTATCTAGAGCTCTCCTTTAAGCGTAAGGCTTTTTACCAAACCTTTTTCAAGGACTCACGTGTTGACTAGAAATCTCAGCCTATGTAGCCTTTGCACCAACAGAGGGCGTGTTCTGCTGTCTCTTCTTCTTGGCAATATTTGCACAGCCTTGTTTCTGGCACTCTGTATCTATAGATATATGCCTCCAAAATCTGCATTATCCAGTTAGGAGTCCTACTATGAGTCCTCACACTCCTGGATTTAGTAGTTCTTCCATTAGTTTCTGGTCCTTTGATGAACTTTTTCCCATGCCTCTGTCCTGACTACTTGCCCATTGCTCGAAGTAATTATTTTTAATCCATTGTTTGATGGAACCAAGCTTTTGGCAGTTTGGTATGCCACAAAAGGGTTCAGGATCAACCATTCCTTGGCCAATCCCTTTGCCTGTGTGTCCTGTTACCCAGATAAGGGTAATTTTATTGTTTTCTCTAATGTCTGATAAGTCCCCAGCCGTCAAAGTAGACTGTTATTTGTCTGTGTATAATACCTAGCTTTTTAATCTCCTTGGCACAGTGTTCTATAGCCTCAGTCTAAGCTTGAAAGACAATGGCATATTGCCCAAGGCTTATATAAATTCTAGCTGCCCACATAGGCTTTCATACCAACAGAGAGGATCCCAGAAACAATCTTCACAACTTCCTATAAAGTCTCAACAGACTATAAAGTAGAGGAAGAAACAATGATATGGTATACAGATGACTCCAAAACAAACGAAGGAACCTGATCAGGCATTTTCTATACAAGCCCAAAATATGAGCAATCAAACTCATTAGGGAAGTACAAGCGGAAGTTTCAAGCGGAAATACATGCCATCAATGCTTGTGCCCTGGAAAATCTTAGAAGAGGTTACACTGACAAAAAAAATCCTCATAAGATCAGACAGCCAAGCAGCCATTAAAGCATTAGCATGTAAAAGAATTACATCACAATTAGTCAGTGAATGCATCCAAAATCTCCAAAACCTGTGAAAACACAACAACCTGATGAAGTCTTAGGTGCCAGGGCACAAGGGAATTTTGGATAACAAGGAAGCAGACAAACTGGCCTGAGGAGGATCTGCAAGATCATACATAGGCCCCGAACCTATCCTTGGGATAACAAAACCAAACATAGAACCCTCCATCGCAGAATGGATCCAAGCAAAACAAAAAGAGAAGTGGATAAACTCTAGCAGTGCTAGACATAGTAAACTTATGATGAAACAACCCTCACCAAGATTGGCAAAAACACTGCTGCAATTGGAGAGGGCAAAACTCAGAGGAGTGGTGGGACTACTAACCGGTCACTGGTATCTGAGAAAACATCTACACAACATGGGTATATACAGCGATGACCCCATTTGCAGATTATGTAATGAGGAGGAGGAAACAGCCACTCATATCATCTTCGAATGCGAAGCAACAGCTCAATGGAGGTTTAACCTAACGTACGGAAAAGACTTAGGGAATCAAATTGCAGCAACAACAGTCAATGACCTGATACTTCTAAGAAGTAGGATTGAGTCTATTGACTGAACTAAGGAACTAGGAAGGTACAATAAGCCAGAAGGCTGCAGTGCCTGGGGAATACAAACCCCGCTTCCTAGTATCTTTTCCACCATACCATACCATACCAACAGAGAGGACATGTTTTGCTGTTTCTTCTTCCTTCAGGCTTGTTTCTTCTGCTTCAACTCTAAACACACCTTTTCCCCTTCTTTGTACTGCCAATTACACCAGTTCTGACACCCATAAGTCAAGATAGCTCGTAATCCTCCGTTAAGCATCCTCATCTTGATGGACCAGAAAAGACCTGTCTCAACAGAGCTCCCTTCATATGGAATTCGTAGCAATTTTTTGGTTCTTGCAATTAATATTTTAATATGTACTTTGATTCTATTTACTTGATAAGGAGAAAATCTTGCAGTTGTAAATAAAAAATAATAAAAAATTGAATGATGGCATTCTTGCTGCAGTGGAAAACCCAACATATTTTGAAAAATTAGTATATGACTTGTCCATACTCATTGAAGTTTGGTTGTTACTGATCCTTTTGGTCAGAGATAGGTCTTTGGGGACCACAGTAGCCTAGTAGTCAGCGTGATCTCTGCGCTAAGCCTCACAGTCATGGGTTCGATTTCCACCGTTCCCTCCTGGCCCCTTTTTTTTCACACAACCCTTCCCCCTCAAAAAGAATACATATCCAGACATCCACAGATGTAACATTCCTTGGCCAATATGCAAAGTTCATAAGGCCATTACCAAAATAATCCTTTTGATGGTTAGACAAGTTTCATTGTTTCACCATCCTCACCCACAACACACACACACTTTAAACTTTGGTGGGGAAAAAAGTATTTGTAGCATGAATCTTTCATCTAGATATCCTTGTGCATTTACGCCTTTGATTTTGTTTCAGCGTTGGCACACGAATTCAGCGAAAACCCAGCTAATACTACCATAAAAGAAGGGGAAGTGCTGAAGCTTACATGTTCCATAGAATCGTCACCGCCAGCTAAAATCACTTGGCTGAGAGATGACAAACCACTACCTCAAAACAGAAGGTTTTTCTCTTTATACAATTTTTATTAATTCATTGACTAATTTCAGTTATACTTAATTATTTACATTGCAAGCATGACTCTTTGCTAAAGAGCCACTGGCAAGGCTATCGAGGTTGATTAACAACCTGATGCTGGCCACTGAGTTACAAAAATAGAGAAGCACAATAGATCTACTTAGGTCGATGTGCAGAATGGCCCAGGGGCTGCCATTTTTACCCCTATACCTAATTAATTTACAAATTTTTTCCAGATTTATTTTACTAGACTCAGGAAGCTTGTACATAGCGAATATAAAAAAAGATGACAGTGGCTTGTATAGGTATGTTTTTTATTTAAAGCCTACGGGTTGTACTTAGATATTAGTTTTTTGTTGGTTTTTCAATAAAGCTTTTTAAAAAAATTTGAACTAAAATTGGTGTTTAAATGTTCTTCAGATGCCAAGCGACAAATGCATATATAAAAAAGAGCAGGGTCAGCACTGGTGCAGAAGTGGTCGTCGACTCCTTCGGAAACAGCGGCCCTCATCCAGTAAAGTTCCTCAATTCTTCTCCGCCAAACAATCTCACACTTCGCGAAGGCACCAAGACTTCAATAGTGTGCGCGGTGTCTGGTACGCCCAGGCCTAACCTCAAATGGATCAAGACGAGTTAGTTTAACTAATAATGTCGAAATCGTAACGTCTACAAATTGAGTCGTGTTTCAGAAGGATTTAACTCAACCCGTGAAAACGGCCTAAACGGCAACTTAATCACTTCCAACAATGGGCTGATAGTTCTACAGATAGATAAAGTCACCGCGGAGCATGCCGGGTCATACTCCTGCGTAGCGAGTCACAAATTTAAAGACAAAACTGCAGTTTATAAGGTATTTATTTTGGATTGATTCTGATAAAATCTAAATGCGGAAAATACAAATTATACTGCAATATAAAAAAGTATATACAGTTTTATCAAACCTTAAGTCAACTTTTTTTAAGCAAATCAATACTGTTCGTGTTTAGCCTCTATTGTTGCCTTAAGTTTTGACTGACAGCCTTACATAAACTTACGAAATAACTGGCAATTATTTATTGAACAATCTTAAATTGTATAATCAGTTTAATCAAAAGTTAATTGCATTAAAGTTGTCAGGATTATTTTTTTTTCTCTCCTGACTTTGTGTGCATGCGTGAAGGTTTGTGTACAGATAAAACACCTCTTGTGATGGTATTTTTAACTTTATTAAATTAAATTTTAATTGTCTCTTCTGTCAACGTTTTGCACTTTGTCGAAATTAATTAACGGTGTAGCGCAGAAGGGAAACAGGTTGTCAGCCCCATACGCTTAATCTTAACTTAATTAATTCAATGAAGTGCATGCTATGGAACAAATGTAAATAAAGAGGAATATCATTTTCAATTGAAGTAATAATAATCTATGAGCACAATAAATGAGTAATTATTAAATTCCTTAATTTTTAATTGCTTTGGGAAGATTTTAATCATAAAGGAATTTACTCTTCCATCAAACGTATTCCAATTCCAACAATTTATATCACTTTTTGTTTATATTTTATGGCAAAATGTACTTGATTAAGAAACCAAAACAATGGAATTTCATAAGTGTTTTTTCATAAATTGAGTTGTTTTAAAATTTTTGCCTTATATAAACATTTGTTTTAATTTTTTAGTATTTTGTTTATTTTAGAAAGTGGTCAATGTAGTAATTCAGACTGCACCTACAATAGTGGAAGCACCAAAATCTCAAATGTATCCAGCAGCCAAAACAGTAAGAATAGAGTGCGAAGTAAGAGGTCTTCCTAATCCAAAAGTGATTTGGTATAAAAATGGAAAGGAGCTGAATATAAACGGTATTTAATTGATTTAATTAACTTTTGAATCGTATTTCAGTCGTGTTTTTACAGGTCGAATCAAGCAAAATTCGAAGGAGTTGGTCCTGGGAGGTACTGTATCACAGGATACCGGGATATACCAGTGCTTTGCGACCTCACCGGCCGGGGTTGCTTGGCGTGCCGGAAGGCTCGTTGTGAACACTTCTTCAGACCAGCCGAACCCGCCGACAAATCTGACTTGCATGACGATTTCGCCGACGCAGGTCAATTTGTCCTGGGCTCAGGAGCAACAGACAGATTTTAAAGCTTTCACAGTTCATTACTTTCCCACAGGTCAGATTGTTATTTGATTTCTTTTTATTTTGTAAATAAAATTCCTCGATTGTAGAAGGAGGAGACGAGTTGAAAGAAGTAGCAAAAAATGAGACATTCATCGTTAGCAAACTCCAGCCTTTTACCAACTACACATTTTACGTTCGCTCTTACGGAAAAGCAGCCAGTGAATTGAGTGGATCTGTCTTTTGTAAAACAGGAGAAGCCAGTGAGTATTTACAATTTGTTTAGCACTTTAAACATAAAAAGACAATATTAAAAAAAAATATTTCAGTGCCTACTGGAGGTCCGAAAGTTGTGGCTAGTGTCACTCCTTATTGCATCCATGTCACCTGGTCACCACCTCCTAGCTCAGAGGCTAGGGGTAGCATCACAGAATACAAGATTCAGTGGAAGAGGGCGAACCAGTCCTCCACCAATTTTGAAAAAGTTCCTGGAACAATTAAACAGTATACCATTCGAGGTGAGTTGCATATGGATTGGATTAAGATTATGATTTGTTTTATTACTAATTTTATGATTTAGATGTAATACAAAACCAAGAGTATATGGTGAGAGTGATAGGAGCGACATCGCTAGGTTGGCCTGACCTATCTGAAGACCAAGCTCCTTGGATAAGAATCAAAATTCCAAAACACAGCAGCAACCCATTCCCTCCTCCAACCATGCGCTTAATAGCGGTGAACGATACAACGATTCATGTAAGCCATGAGTTTTCCAATATAAAACTAGATTTTATACTTCTTGTTTTTATAGGTGGAATGGACGTATCCAGAAGGAATAGACATTGACGGTTTCAAATTGTATTACGGGCAGCTTAACAGTACAGATCGAACATTACTAGTGCTTAAGAAAAATGTCACTGATTTTCACATAACCCATCTAGGTATAAGTTTTGGTTTGTTCGTTAAGAAATAAAATGCTTAATTAAGTTTTTTTTTTCAGATCCTTCCACTTGGTACGAAGTTGAAGTGAAGGCGTTTTCTGGAGATGTTGAAGGGGAAAGCTGCGTCGAGAGCAAGTCGACTCGGGAGAAGGTCCTTTTTGCGCCTTCTTTGCCGATGCCGATTTCGCTCGAGGCGACGTCCCCGTCTCCTCACTCGATCAACATCTCCTGGTCTTTGCCTTCCCATCATCACTCTTGGAACATCACCCATTACACTGTCTTGTACAACCTCCTCTACGCCCCTACTCACAACTTTACGGGGAAGACTGTTCAAACGTGAGCGCTTTCGTTAAACGATTCATTGTGGAGTTTGTAATGAAATTCTGTTTCAGATCAAACACGAGTGTTCAAATTACGGGTTTAGCGGCAAACACTCTGTACGAGTTTTCAGTCAGAGCTCATGGGTACAACAACCAGGTCAGTGCTGTGAGCAGTAAAATCGAGTGCAAGACATTGCAAGAAGGTTGGTTTCTTTTTTTAAAGTTTAAAAATAGGCTTACTTTATTTTCAAACATAATTGATATTAGGAAATTTTTTCTTTTATTGATTTTCCGGAAAATACTGCAGGTTTTCATGTTTTCTTTCAATTACCCCTCTATATAATAAACTTTTTACATTTGATGGATTATTCTTTTGTACGAATGTCGACAGTTTTTAATTCTCTTCTAAACAAAAATGTTTCTTTACCTCAGTAGCATTTTACTTGCGAATAATTCAATATTTACTAAGATTACAACATGTGATTTTTGCGTAATTTTGTTTTACAAGTTTAATCTTGGTCAGAATGTTGCCCAAATGGCCAGAAACATTAATGAAGTCTGTCATAATGACAGTGTGAGAGCACTGTTCAGAGATGGTTTAAAAAGATTCAAGGGAAGCCTTGGAGAAAAAGTGTCATGGAAGGATTTCTTCCCTAGATGACAGCGAGCTTTGCTCTAAGAAAATCCCAGAACAACTGTTTGAGAACTTATAGAGAATCTTTCAGTTAGTAAATCGATCATTGTTGACCGTCTTACGGCAATTGGAGAGGTGAAAAAGCTCGGAAGTTGGATTCCTCATGCATTAAGCGTCCGTCAAAAAAATCATCATTGTGAAGTTTCCGCAAACTTTTTACCAAAACAGAAACAAACCTTTTCTGGATAGAACTTTTACTTGTGATGAAAAGTGGATTTTCTACTACAAATACAGCAGACGTCTGGACAGTGGCTGACAAAGGAGAAGCAACACCACATTTTCAAAAGACTCCAACTCTCTTTGATTTACTACAGCTTCTTGAATCCGGGCGAAACAATCAATACCGAAACATATTGCCCTTAAATTAAAGCAATGCACCAGAAATTGGCATTATTGAAGCCATCTTTGGTCAATCGGAAAATACTAAAAAACTTAAAAATGTTAACCAACAATGCGATCTTGATTATGACGTTCTGCTTCCCTATTCCCCAGGCCTCTCACCTACCTACTACCATTTTTTCAAACACATGGACAATGTTTTATAACATAAAAAATTTATGATCAAAAGTCGATAAAAAAATGTGTTTACAGAATTTGTTAATAACAAGGTCTCGAAATTCTATTCATATTAAATTCACTAGTTTCGTGGTCCGCTTGACCAATTAATAAATACAAATAATATCATACAATTAATTAAGGCTTTCAGTTGAGATAAAAAAGTCAATGGCTCGAGCGGGATTCAAACCCACGATCTTCGGCTTGATACGCCGCTGCTCTACCACTTGAGCTATCGTGACCTCGATCCACTCGGACACTAACTTCCAATCTCAACCCCACCTTATGAGTTTTCCCTCCTTTTTGCCATTTTTCAAATGTCGTGTAATCTATGAGCAAATGAGTCATGACATTTGGGATAAGTGTATTGAGAGTGATGGAGGATATTTTAATTATTAAAAGATGTTTAAAATCATTTATTTTATTAGTGACCTTTTCAACTAATTTTGTAACAATAAACACAAAAGTCTTCTATGAACTATAATTTATTTGTTAACTCTAGAATATATTTTGTTTGTCATGCATATTTTATATATGTTTTTCCCATTGTTTTTTTTTATTATGTATTAATAACATTTTTTAGTATTAGATGTTGTTGAAAACATCAAATGGAGGATTCTTAATTCGACGAGCATCCAAGTGTCATGGAAGGGCATAAAATCAGCGTCCTATTACTCAATATTCTACTCGCTCGATCCGTCTGCACCTTTGAACCTTTGGCATCAGGAGAACATTTACAAAAATCAGACATCTGCCGAGGTAAAACGTAAAATTGGTCGAATCGAAAGAATTAGATTACATTGTAATACTCTTCACCAGCTGACCGGACTTAAGAGCAACCACGAATATTCGCTGAGGGTGAGAGGCGGCTCTAGCTCGGGCACAGGCCCACTTTCGGCGAATGTTTTCTTCACTCTGTTTGCGGATATTGATCGGCCTTCAAATGATGAAAACCACCAGCCTTCAGGATCAATTCAGTCCGATCAGTTTCTAGGTACACCTTTTAAATATAATCTACTATTTTTCGTGGTCCGCTTGACCAATTAATATCATTCAATTAATTAAGGTTTTTAGTTGAGATAAAAATGTCAGTATCACGAGCGGGATTCGAACCCACGATCTTCGGCTAAATACGCTGCTGCTCTACCACTTGAGCTATCATGACTTCGATCCACTCGGACACTAATTTCCATCTCAACCCTCCCTTTTGAATTTTTTTGAAAAATAGTGAATTTAATGGATTAAAATGAAGTATACTTCACTATAGCTCTATGGCCATTTCATTTGTCGCCGAGAATCAAATAGATTACATGACATTTGAAAAATGGCAACAAGGAGGGAAAATTCAAAAGGTGGAGTTGAGATGAGAAGTTAGTGCCCAAGTGGATCGAAGTCACGATAGCTCAAGTGGTAGAGTAGCGGCGTATCATGCTGAAGGTCATGGGCTTCCTGCTTGTGATACTGACTTTTTTATCTCAACTAAAAACCTTAATTAATTGAATTTTTAAATATAGTTCAAAAAAATTTTTAAAAATCAGTTTTATGTATAAATGTATATTCTTGTTTCAGGCATTGTAGTAGGTTGCGCTATAAGCATTTTGTGCATATTATTGTGCACTGCTAGTTTGCTTTATAAAAGGAGTTGTAGTAAAAACCAAGGGCAAATTTCAACAAACGGCAATGGTCAGTGTTCTTCCGAACTTGAAATGCAAGCTCTTACACAGCTTGTCTCTAAGGTAAATATGCACCACATAACAAAAATAAATAAATATGGCTTCCTACAATACTGAAAAGTATCCTTCTTAAAGAAAAAATAATAATAATATAGTAAAGTGAGTGATAAAAAATTGACCAATTTCATTTTCATGGAAATTGTAGACCCCTGTAGGCTTTATTTGTTTTTCACATCCAATTAGGTTTGATGCCACTTTAATCTGTTGACTTATGCTAAATGAATGTGTAAAAAAATAATCTTTTCTTGCATTCAGTTTTGTCTTAAGCTAGTTTCCATTGAGTGAAAATCACTCACACAACTGTTTCACGAAACTTATCTCGCATTGTGTATATCTAGGCAAAACTGTGAAACTTTTGATGTGCGGATGTTTCAAGGTGAGCCGATGAGCCGTCGGTTTTTTTGTGCGTATCAAAATGTTTCGATTGTTTGTTTCTCTCCGTTTTTATCTACACATTTGTCTCGAGTATTGCATTAGACTTATCCGAATCACAGCTATCAAATTTTGTGGGATGTTAAAGATAAAACTCATAAGAAGAAGGAGAGAGAGGATGCATGGAAGGAAATGAACATCAAAATGGGACAAAGACAAGAAGTACAAAAAAAAGTATTGCCACGATAGAAAACGGTGATGCAGCAGTTGGCGTATTTATAAACGGCACGCTTGTCTCACGCAAACTGATTGCTCACTTTGTTTCGCCACTAGGTTGTGAAATGTTTCGCCTCGTGGAAACGGTTAATCCGAGACGGTGTTTCATGAGTGATTCTCACGTTTAGTTGTGTAAGTGATTTTTTCGCACAATGGAAAACCAAGATGTAGAGTTAAGTTAAACAATATGATGGTAAAATTTGAAATTTTGGTATATTACACCATTATTGGAAAGTTGAGTTTTCCACCACCGAAACAACCCATTTGGTGCGGTAATTAGAAATTCGAAGCTGGTGACATCAGCTCAGGAGGAAAGAGCGTTCTGGATGAAAATCATCATTTGACGAGGAAGCTTTGTAAGGCACTATTGAGGCAGGCCCAACAAAAAGTACTCCAGAATTTGCAAGAGAACTTGGAATATCCCAATCCACCATAAATCAAGGACTGGATAACTACGCTTATTACGAGTAGTTCCTCATAAGTTAACTATTGAGCAAACACAATGCCAAATAGAAATTTGTCAACATCTTTTGAAAAATTCAAATGACCTTTGGTTCATCGAAAGAATAGTTACTTGCAATGAATTGTATATATTGGAGAAACCCCAAGACCAAGAAACAATGGCTAGACTGCAATTAGCCTGCTCTACCAGTAGCTTGCAACGGTTCGACAATGCTATCTGTATTTTTGAATTACGAATGCATAATTCATTATGAGTTCATTCTAGAAGATCATTGATTCAAAACTTTTGTTGTGAGCAGTTAAATGTACGTCATTTTGACTCCAGGATTATTAAATAGAAAGTTATTCAGATATCGTTAGATGCGGTGTGATGTAGGTTTCAGAAAAACATTTTCTTTATCGTGCCAACGTTTCGATCTTTTATTGAGATCATCTTCAGGGCGTTAAATAGAAATCGAATTTTCTTTCTAGATAACGCACGACTACACACTTCTCTTTAAGGTGGCTCAAGACATGGTATTAGCCAAATGCCAATTGCTGGTGAACATTTGCCAAGTCTTGAGATGCTCATCTTGACATTCGCTAAATAGCGTGTCTACATATCCACACATGCGGTGTTTGTACAACCAGCCAGTTTGTGTGGAAACAGCGAATACGTATTTGCCAAGAGCCATGCTAGTCTCCAATGTACTACCAATGGTGATGGACAACAGTGAAACTGTCATTGCTGCAGCTGCAGTTACTGTTTTGAAGCGAATAAGGAAACCAACAATTAGCCAAATATGATGAGCACCGAATATTGTTGTTCGGCGAATAACCGAGCACCCTCCCCACTAGCCACCATTACATTAAACAAAAAATTACAGAATTGGATTGATTTGAGCTTATCCCTCACCTTGCTTATTGTCCCAGACTTAGCACCTTCCGACTACCATCTATTCCCGTAAATGGTATCTTCAAGGGAAAACTTTTAATTCTCTGAATGAGGTTCAAAATGGAGCAGAATTCTTCCATTTCCAACCCAAAGAGTGGTATTTTGAAGGAATCTAACACCTGGTCTTGAGATGACAACAATCCATAGAACACAATGGTATATACGTTGAATATAAAAACAAAAGTGTCAAAATAAAATTATTTTTAAATTAGCTAGAAAAACGGTCATTTTTTTATCACTCTATTAACTTATGATTTTAACTTCTCGAAGGTGGGATAATAGGTCATCTCACATATCATATGAGGTCTTGAGTGAGGATATGTTTATCAATCGAATTTGTTCAAAAGCAAGCCCAGTGTGAGTCTTTGCACTCACGTGAATAATCCTAAAATTTTGAAAATTCATAATGTGCTTGTTTCTTATGAGCTAGTGAACTTTTCCAAATTAATAAGAAAGCTGCCTGTCCAGGCTTATAATTATAATGAACCATTGATAAACATCTTACACTCTCGTAGCTAATCATTTATGAACTGAGTAACCCAACGCAGTTTCTTCATTTTTCCCTCTTTTTTCTCTTCTTTTTTCCTTGCTTTATTTGCCCCTCTTTTTTCATAAAACTGTTTTATTATTATTAAAAGTTTATTGTTGCATTCTGCCTACATGGCAGGAAGTTTTTACCATGAAAAGATGACAAGGGCAAATCTCTAGAAAAAAATGAAGAGTAAGCCAACTCACACCAACCCCCGATAATCTCCAATAATGCAATCCAAGAACCTCGGCAGACCCACTGACTATGCTACCAGTAACTTGAAAGGACTAACCTAATGATTCACCAATCAGCACGACAGCATATCAAACCTTATGAGTTCTAGAAAACCTAGACGAAATCTCGGAGACCACTGCCGCCCCCAACAACCTCCAAAACCATTCAGAGTTCCACTACTTTTGGTTTTGATAGACATTGAACCTACACCCCTCATCCACCATAGCTCATTAAACTTGTCCATACTAGAGTGAAGGAGGAAAAGCCCCACCCTCAAAAGGAAATTGTGCAGTAACACAACAGACAGCACTAAAATGTACAAAACATACTGCCACTATTCTTAGAAAGAAAGAGAAGAATGGCATGAGTCCAGATGTATCTATCTATTCAAACAAAATCATACATATAAGGTCTGTGAAGCCTTTCTGTAGCTAAAATGCCAGATATAAGCACTCAAACCAGACTAACCCCCTGACTACTTGATCTGGAATCTATGAATCCCCTTTTCGAGGTGTCCACTCAGGAACCACCCAGATGGCTTATACCACTGAGCTAAATGTACAATACCAACACCAGCCATACTACTTAACAGGCCATCCCAATACCAACAATCTCCAAACAATGCTCACCTCTTTCAATGAATTTAAATCTCTTATAACCTCCATTATCTTGATTATGAATATTCCTGAACTGACTGCAATATTGCATGAATGATATATACATCCAATCTGACAAACTACAGCCAACCATGGTGTCAGGATAAACTGATCTGAAATGGCCACCATGTTGATCGAACCAATAGGTGTTCAGCTAACCTCTAATACCATATCACACCATATCATCTCAGCAATTTCCATTGACTTCCTACAAATCACCTATGTGACCTGTATTCTGACCCCAGCCCAATACTTTTAACCTCATTCCTCATCCTTTGACAAAAACCTGAATCCATATGCTAGCCCCAAATTCCATACTCAATTTTGAAATTCCATCGATCTCAAAATCTCCCTAAAAACGCCTGAGGACCTGGGTGAAGTTTTTGCTTCCTTTATCACAGTTTATGGTAGGCTGTCTAGAATGCACACTTGTCAAGAAGCCACCTTTCCAACCACACATTACAAACCCCCTAACTCAAAAACGTCAACCCAGGGCAACATGGCAGAGATCATTACATATGCTCGAAACAAAGGTTGTTGAAGCCCTACTTGACCCAATGTATATTTTTTACAGATAAATATATATTTTGAAAAGTTTACAGAAGTAAGGATTGTATTCATCAAAATAATTTCTATTTGCTTTTTCCCCCTTATTAGATGTTTGTAAATAAAATCAACCTATTCACTCTCTTACCCGTGAACTTGTTTCATATTTTTCAATCAATTTTCAGCCTGTTTTTATATAATTTGTTTCAGTTTTATTCAATCCGTATTTCAATTTGCAGGGTAGTTTCCCAAATGGTCAGGCCAACGGTATGAAACACCCTTTGATTATTAACGGAGGGATACCGAATGGGATAGTGAGAGAAAAAGGGGTCAGGATAACTGAAAATCCACAGGTGAGGGATCGCTTCTGTGTGTTATTTTCCTTTTTCGGACGAAAGACGTATAATGAGAAAGTGCGAGTGAGAATGTCGACGATTTGTGCATGACGAAAGCCAAAATTCTTTGGAGTACATCTGTGGTATTCTGACCCTTTTTTCTTATAAACTTCAGTTATTATTGGACATAAATAAATAATTTCATATAAATATAAAATAAATCGTTTATGCATTTCAGAAAGTACTGAGGGCTGTTAAGTAAGGTAACTTTTAAATAATAACCAATTTCATTTAGATTCAAATTAAAAGTCAATTTGCATTCCAACAAGGGCAGTAATAAATATAACTGTTTTAATTACTGACAGCATTTTCTCACATATTTTTTCTGTGCCAAAAGTGTTTTACAAAGAAAGCACAAGAATTCTCCCTAATCATAAGAGTCAATTTGTACTCTGTATTAAAAGACAGATTAGAACAATTAGAATGTCAAGCTGTGAGTGTTTATAGTAGAAATACTAATTTAAAAAGAATTAAACATATAAAACTCTTATCTAGTAGAGCCTAGATTTATAAGCAATAAAAATCCTCAAATATGTCATATAATATGCAGTAAAAAAAACCCTGAAAGGGATACACTCCAAATGACGCTCATCATGATTAGCATCCACAGCGCCTATCTAGTTTCTCAACCATTGACGTGATCCGATGGGTTGCGACGGCTGGTCCTAGCCGGTTCTGGCTGAGTCCCCTTGTTGAGTCCTAGCTTCCCCCATATTGCAGTTACGTTTTTCAGATTTGTGGGTGATCGCTCCTACTAATTTACAGGCTGTTTTCTATGGCTGTTTAAACTATCTTTTTTTCTTACCTTAACCACTAGAACTTATTCTATGTCAAGGACCTGCTTACAACAAGAGAAAAATTTCAGAAAATAACCAGATCGAGACGCTCAAATGGCTGCAGTTTAAAACAAAATATGCGCGAAAGAAAAGAAAAAAAAGGAAAACACGCAGATGGCCGGCGATGACCTCAGCTGTTTGTGTGGCCTATAAACTTTCCACTTATATATACAAAATAAATAATTAAACTTAATTAAGTGCATGATCTGACTTAAAATTGCCAATGAGATACATTTTAAAATTAGTTTCTGTAAAACTACAGTTTTATCCCTAAAAAATATTTGTAACTTCAAAGACATTTTGGGAATGGGAGCATCGAATAATATGCCAATTATTTCAAGGAAATTCTTTTGTGTAAATCCAAATCAAATTTTGTCTTTTTCATTTCGTGTTCTTAGTTGCGGAGTTTGTTTTTATTTTTCTATTTAATTATTTTTATCAGCTTATTCTTAATTATACACAATTTTTTTGAAATGAAAAATTTGTGTCACAGGCGGGATTTGAACCCACGATTTACGAGTCAAAATGGGAAGTTTGAGGCATGGACAATCGAAGTCACAGTAGCTCGAGTGGTAGAGCAGTGGCGAATTTAACCAACAGTCGTGGGTTCGAATCTCATCTCACCTGTGACACAAATTTTTCATTTCAAAAAATTGTGTATAATTAATTGAGTAATCATTTTTCTAAGAAATCAAAAATATTCCATCTTCCTATTTTAGAAGAAGTTAAATCCCCATTTATGTTAGGTTTACTAGGTCGAAAATATGAGAGAGGACAGAAAACTTTTTTTTTTGTTTCTTTTTTTTCAAATGAGGCCCTTATTTCCATAATATGACTATGTCAGAAAGAGTAATTTTTCAGGCAAAAACTGCACTCAGAAATTTTGGAAATGGGAGCCTAGAATAATATGCCAATTATCTCAAGAGAATTCTTTTGAGTAAATCCAAACCAAATTTTGACTCTTGTCTTTTTTATTTCGTGTTCTAAGTTGTCGAGTTTGTATGTATTTTTCTAAGTAATCAAAAATATTTCAAATTTTCAGTATTGAGAATAAAGTTTGAACCACCCTATTACGGAGGTATGATTTGCATAAATATCTGATGACTGTAGTTGTGTTAACAGAAAGAATATAAAATTGCATACAAATCTGGGCTCTACTTGTGGCTAATATGAGCAGTGGGAATCACCAGTGCCAGTGGACAGTCTGAGGTCTTTTTTGCTGCATACCTGAATTTGCTGTCACCACTCACACTAATAAATTCATTCACTCAATGTATTAACTAACCCAATTACATTTTCAATGTTAAAGTATCTCTTTTTCACTTTTTTCTCATGAACACTCTGGATCAAGGCATGGTCTCGAGAAAAAAGTGAATTAACAAGCTTTTGGCAGTCCTTGGCAATGTTAGGAGTGAGTTGGTCTTCAAGGAAATTTGAGATCGCCTGTAAAAAACTTAAATTTGTCAATCTGTAGACATATTTAAGGTTGATTTGTCCTGATGATGATCTTAAAATATATCAAAAGCTTGCCAGTAACATCTCAATTTGCTTTTTTTTCAAGACCATACCTTGAATGTAAATATTCAATAGAAAACCCATAATTACGAAATTTCAAGAGGCTTGCTTTGCTCTCTGAACCGAGACGTGACAGCCTTCCATTATGTCCAATGTTCTTATTGAGCGGCCTTGAGTGGGTGTAAATCATATATGGCCTACTCGGAGTCATAACATTAAAATCTCTTTCTATTAATTAAGGTTTTTAGTTGAGATAAAAAGTCAGTGTCACGAGCGGGATTCGAACCCACGACCTTCGGCTAGATACGCCGCTACTCTACCATTTGATCTATTGTGACTTCGATCCGCTCAGACACTAACTTCCCATCTCAACCTCATCTCTCGAATTTTCCCTCCTTTTTGCCATTTTTCAAATGTCGTGTAATCTATTTTATTCTCGGCGACAAATGAAATGGCCACGGAGAGCTTTAGTATTCTTCATTTTAACTTATTAAATTCACTAGTTTTCATGGTCTGCTTGACTAAATAATATCTTTCTATTAATTAAGGTTTTTACTTGAGATAAAAAGAAATTATTTAGCCAAATGGACCACGAAAACTAGTGAATTTATAAGTTAAAATGAAGAATACTTCACTACAGCTTTCTGTGGCCATTTCATTTGTCGCCAAGAATCAAATAGATTACACGACATTTAAAATGGCAAAAAGGAGAGAAAATTCAAAGGTGGGGTTGAGATGGGAAGTTAGTGTCCGAGCGGATCGAAGACACAATAGCTCAAGTGGTAAAGAAGCGGCGTATCTAGCTAAGGTCGTGGGTTCGAATCCCGCTCGTGACAATGACTTTTTTATCTCAACTAAAAACCTTAATTAATAGAAAGATATTATTTAGTCAAGCGGACCATGAAAACTAGCGAATTAAAATCTCTATTCTTCTAAGACCATCTGGTCGATTGAGTGACAGAATCAATGATCTTATTGTTCATATTTCAAGGGAATCATTTTATGAATATTTTTGGTTGATTTAGATATGATTACTCACTATTGTATGAGCGACTGGTTAGTTTATTGTTGGATTGGTTTTGAATTCTGGGTTTCCTTATCAAGGAAAGTTTGTGGGAGCTAAAGTCAAACTAGAGTCAATAAAAATAAACAGTAAAGAGCATTTTACTCATACCTAGTTGTTAACAATTCTATATTCCATCCGATAATTTGAAGAAGAAAAAATTAAATTAAAGAAATTACTTTTTTATTATTTTTTTGGCCTCTATTTGACAAAGTAAAAGAAAAAACTGGAATAGGGAGAAAGTTTTTTAATTTGTTTGAATGTATGAAGTGTGCTTGTAAAAACCAAATAAAAATTTGTCAAATTAAATAGCTTGTGAAGAGGAGTAATAAATCATTTATTTATTTGTCAGAGGTTGGAAGGAGAGTGTGGAAGTAGTCGGACGACAGACGAAGGAGACAGCCTCCTGAGCGGGCCCGACCCGGAAATGGACAACGAGGAGACCCACATGACCACAATCGGCTCCTCGTTCCTCAGCAAAGAGCTGCCGCCGGACGACGGATTTCACGAGACTTCGAACCTAACGCCCAACTGGTAACGGCCGCAATCACAAACCGGCAAAAGCAATACAGCAATACCACCGTCAAGTACAAAGAAAGTGAACAAATGCGTTTATAATAGAAAGTCGACACACTATTGCCTCTCTATTAGTCTTAAATGATAGTTTTAAGTTGCGCTGTTCAATTCGAACCATCAGCAAACGTGAAGCTTCCCTATGTTCTTCCTACAGTACTTTGTTATTTGCTTCTTTTGTTTTATTTATTTTTTTCTTTTTCTTCGGATTAATGCGGGTATATTCAGTTCGATTTTACAGCATTGTTTTAATTTTATTTACGCGATCAATTTGTTCTAGTTTACTAGGTTTTAGATTTTATGACGATTTAAAGTACAACACTTTTTTTTTTGTAAATAGTTTTTCAATTTTTTTTCTGAAGCAATTTGTTCCTATTACGGCAGAATGCACTATGTTATACAGTTTATCTTTTAAAAGAACATTTTAGTTGTTTGTGTTGTTTTAGCCGCCTCAATGTTTAGCAGGTTTTAATTTTTTTTTTTTTTTTTTTTTTTTAATACGTAGTAACTTTAGGCAAGTTAGATTACTGCTGATTCAAACAGAGTTATTCAACTATCAGTAAGTAATCCATATACTTAAATTTTCTTGTACCTGATTATTCTTTCCATTAAAAGAGAAAAAAATAAGATTATCGGATTATTTTTTAAAAAGTTGTACAAAAAAAGAATTTGATATAATAGAGAGTAATGAACATCCTTAGGATTAACATTGTTTCTATTCAGTTTGTTTTATTTCTCTATTTTTGGTGGTAAAAATATTTCCACAACTTGTGAATTTGAACAATTGAATATAGCTGTTTTAAATATACATTAGACTGAATGAGAAAATGTTAATAAAAGGAACAAAACTTAAGTTTCTGCAAATGCAAGATGATATATTCTTATAAAAATATCGAGAAAAAGTTAAATCTCATGTCGGTAGCTTCCAAATTTACTTAAAAACCACATTTTGTCTTGACGTTGTTTTATATTACAAACAAAGAAACAACACAAAATTATTTTTTAAGAGATCTAAAAATGTTAAATTGTTTTATGAAAATATTTTTGAAAATGTGAACGTTATAAATCATGAGTATTAGGTTTTTATTGAGGCACTTTTACCGTGAAAGGCCCAATTTTTATTTGTATATCGTTTTTAATGTTTTGAATTTTATGTGGTTTCCGTCCAAATTGGCTATCAGCGTTGGCATGCTGATGAGAACGAAATTGCATAAGTTAGTACAGGTTGTTTTTTGTAAGGATAAATCACATTGCTATAACAGTATTGCTCAATGAACGGAGATATTCCAGTCATGAACGGTTCATTCCTAAACATACCTCATTTTTATTACTCGGCCATCGCCATTCCTTATGTTACCTATTTTCTGTCGCATTGAGGAGAAATCACAATACCTCAGCTGCTGTGATAAGTTCAGTCGGATCGCCACAGTGCATTACAGTTCCAAACGAAGCAATATAAAATTCCGGTCTTCCATAACGAAAAATAAGTTGACTACAGAATTTTTTTAAAATTTCCAACAGTTTACTGTGGCCTTCCATTTTATTCTAGTTAAAAAAAAAGGCTTTTTTTTTAATTCATAGACACATGCCGTTTTTCGAACCCCTCAGTTGCTTGTCTTGAGCAAGGACAATTTGTAAAGAAATCTCAGCCCGATAAGAGTCAGTTTTGCATGAGGGCTTTGTGAGAATGCGTCGGTGAGCTAGGCTGCGACAGATCTGAAAATACAAATAATGCAAGTTACTAAGAACGACTGTGCTGTCATGTGTAACAGAAAATATATGTGAAAACCCAGCTACCTCAATAATTAACTATTTGCTATTAAGTGGACCTCTCAGGGATTTGGTTGTAGCGATTCGCCCAACTTTTTAATCACTTTAAAGTGTTTGTAAAATGTTCCATGCACTATTTAAAAATGCATGTCTTATCGAATAATTAATAATATTTAAAATATAATGTTGAGAAAGTGTATATTAAAAATAAGTTTTTTGTTTGTTTTTTTGTGCTGTTTTACGTCAAATTCAACAAGGCTTTTATGTGACAGTGTGAAGTACAAATTACTCGGCCTACGTCAATAAACAATTCAGGGATAATATGACTAAAAATTTGGTCTAATTTAAACAAGGGGTATAATTTTTTTAAATATCGCCTTTTTATAAGCACAATAAATAATTTTTATTAGCTTAGAAATGGTGTTCTAACAAGGAAAAGAAGCAGGGGGAGAAAACAAGAAAAAGTCACCAAAGAGCTATAAATTGAAAATTAATTGTATATATAGTGTTTAATATAATATATTTTCAGTCTATGTGTGTAAACTTTTCTAGCTTAGATAGATTTAATAGATCCAAGAAAATAAAACCTACAGGTCATCTAGCTTGTCATTAGGAATTGCCTAATGTGCCAGTGCGTTTTACACAATGCCTTTTTGAAAATTAAAAAAAAAAAATCTAATTGCTCATTGCTTGTCGACACAAATTTCATTTCATTTGGAACAAGCTGTGTTCAGTATTTAAAATAGATGCCTAGACCGCTCATTTATGTTAAAAAGGAAACAATTGCACACTTAAAGTTACAAGAAAAATGACTGAATTGTGTGCTAGCATTGCCTTACAGTTTTGAATTTGTTTTTCTTTTCATTTCATTTATAATTATTTTTATTAAGTAAAACAAGCATTATCACGACACTTTTGCTCAGTCTTATATTGCATTTATATAAATATATAAAAGTTTTTGAATACAAATTTAAATTGTTATGAAATTGTAACATAGCTTATTTCATCATTATAATGTATTTATTAATGTAATAATGTGGAAAATATACAATTGCGAGTTTTTAATGTTCTATTATTAAGTAAGAAATGGGCGAATCGCTTCAACTTTGTTAGTTTGTAAGTTTTAGGCCTTGTGTGATGTGAGATGAATGTGCCATAATCTCATGCCGTCAAATGAAAAGGGCCTCTCTGAACCTCGGCACTCTTGATAACGATATTTCAAAACACGAGTCCACTCCGTTTCCATTCTGGAATGCATCAGATTCTCTTTATTTGTGATTCGTTCGCAATTGGGAAGACGTGTGTCTGCACAAATGTCGTAACCTTGTACAAAAAAAAAAAAAAAAAAAAAATTGGAAAAATGGTGCCTTTGTTTAGAGTTTGTGTGGTAAAATTCAATAGTCGATTTTTAGAATTGTTGATGTCAAGTCTGTAAGGGAAAAGCCTTTTCCTTTGTTCTTTGGGTTAGTTGAGATGAAAAAAAAAAAAAACCACCAGCGAACCTCTTTTTATATGTATTTTTGGAATTTCAAGCACATTTGTGATTTAAAAGAAAAAGTACATAAACAAATTTATGGCATTCCCTTATTTTATATATCTAGTTTTATCAAACTGAAAGTTTATCAAGTTGTACCATTCAGTTTTGTATGCATTTATGTGAGAAAATATGCTTGAGTGATATTCAGCGAATGGGTTATGTGAAAAGTGTATTGTTTTATGCGTATGTATATGTTCAGGCCATCACACTAGGCTTATGTTTTTTGTTAAGTTTTTTTTTCTTATTGTAACTACCCAATGGGATTCACCCAAGGGCTTTATCGCCCGGGATTCAAACTACCTCAAGCTCTTGGCAATATTTGCCCGCACTTGGTAAGTGTCGTGTGTTTTTATAGTGTTCAATTCCTGTACATAGAATCTGTACATTTTTCTTGAATAAAACAAAAAAATTAATTTATTTTTTCTAAGGCTAATCATTGACAAGAGATTGGGGACTTTTTTTTTAATTTGTCCCCCAAGTCTGGAATCATCGTCAGTACAATATGTCTACTTACTTTTAATTGTTATTCCTTTTAATTGTTGTTACATTTTGTAATTTATCCTTTCAAGTTTGACTAGTTGAAGGTTTTTTGCTTCTTGAAATCGACTCAGGTATATTCTATTGTATTTCATACTGTACATTATTTACCAGAATTTTTATTGATGTCATTTTATTGTATATAGGTATAAAAAGTCAAAAAAAAATTTATTAATCAAATGGTAGATAGAGAAAATTAATTTTGATTTTCCTTTTAATGTGTAGATTGTAATTTAAAATGTTTATACTCTCCAAACGCTGTCTGGCTCCATGTGTTGACTTTGATGAATAAAAAAAATTTAATAAACATATTAAAAAAAAGTATGTATGCTTATTTTTGTACAGATATGGTAATGGAATATTTGTAATTATAATATGTTGTAACATTTTATAATTGTCTGTAGTTTATAAACATAATATATTACAAATTATATGAATTTATGTTCATTTTATTGTCAATAATATATGATTCATTGTAAAACGCTTTATTTATTATGGAACCTATTTAGTTTTAAAATTTTTGTACAAAATTATAAATTTCTAATGTTGTCAAGATACAGCATAAATGTATGGTGATTAGTGACCCGTTAATCAATAATTATTCAGAAATCGTGAGATGCGGTCTGGTGCGATGTAGGTTTCAGAAAAACATTTTCTTTATCGGGCCAACGTTTCTAACTTTATTGAGATCATCTTCAGGGCCTGGGATTTACAAACATTTTTTACATTTAACAAATAATGTAGGATGTGGAAAAAAGTGAATTTATACAATGCAAAATATATATTTTTTTTGTTGTTGTTTTTTTGTTGTGAAGGGGTGTCTGGGGCGTGTGATGCTGCCGGGGCCCAGTTTCTGCTTTCGGGGGGGTTCCTGGGCTGTGGCCCACTCACCACCCAGCTTGAAGGTGGAAAATGACCCAAAGCGGTTGATCGCCTTTTATAATTTAAAAAAAAAAAAAAAAAAAAAAAAAACAACGATGGTGAAATAAGCGTTTTTGTAGCCAGTATTTTGAAAAAAAAATTTTTTTTTCAAAGTTGGATAAGTTACTATGGTGATTCTAAACTACTATTTCCAAAACTAGAGCAGCAAATTTCAACAAATGTACTCCATTTAATATCCGTTTTACTGGTGCAATTGCTTTTTTAATTACTTTTTTCAAAGATGAAGAAATTGATAAAGGAAAGAAAAAACCGTGGTTGAAGGATTTGTAAGGTGGAGCGATTAATAATAATAAAAAATAAAAAACATAAGGAAATTTTGAATGAATTGATTAAACTTTTTTTAATTTTGATTCGAAATGCTCTCCGCAATGTATTTTTGACGCGCTGCCATCGCATTGAACCCACAAAACCCATACATAAGATGTATATCAGCGTATTCTTCATTAGAAAAAGTAGCTATAGTGTTAGCAAGATAGCACATAGATAACGAAAAACGTTTTGAATCTTAAAACTATTTTATTCCAAAACAAAATAATATACGATAAAATTCTTTAATCAATGTTGCAACACTTGCACTATTTCAGTTTCGAACCCAAATTAAAAAAGTTTAATAAATTCATTTTTTAATTTTCCACCTTACCAATCCGTCAGCCACGGTTTTTCATTTCCTCCATCCATTTCTTCATCTTAGAAAAAAGTAATTAAAAAATAAATTACACCACCAAAAAGGATATTAAATGGAGTACGTTTTCTGAAATTTTCTGGTCTGTAGGTTTGGAAATAGTAGTTTAGAATCACTATCGTAAATTTTTCAACTTTGAAAAAAAAATATTTTTCAAATTTCTGGCTACTAAAACGCTTATTTCACCAACGCTTACAAGCTTAGTACTAATCACATCTTAGTGGAAATTTAACGTAGTTTTCAATGGTATAAACGGATTTGTCCAAAACCTCAGATAAAACTCAGAGAAAGTGGAATAACTCCGAAACTGCTGAGATATAGACCATACTCAATAAGACTTTTTGGTTCCATTTTGAATGTAGAACCTACTGGCAAAGTTTGTACAAGCAGTCGAACACCCTGTATAAATTCACTAATTTCGTAGTCCGCTTGACCAATTAAAATATTACAGTTAATTAAGGTTTTTAGTTGAGATGGAAAAATGGTAAAAAGGAGGGAAAATTCAAAAGGTGGGGTTGAGATGGGAAGTTAGTGTTCGAGTGGATCGAGGTCACGATAGCTCAAGTGGTAGAGTAGCGGCGTATCAAGCCGAAGATCGTGGGTTCGAATCCCGCTCGTGCCATTGAATCTTTTATCTCAACTAAAATACCCTGTATAAAGATGAGGTCTATCGAGAATTCCAGATAAATCATGTAGCTAGGATAAAATCAGATAAGACGACTTATAAAAATTGTGAAATTAATCAACATACCTTGTCAGGTGTTCAGTGGAAGAATGGTAGTGAATTAGGAAAATAATTGCACAATTAGGAAGGAATTTTAAAAAAATTCTTAAAAAATCAAAATGGTGTATTTTGACAAACTTCACAACTACTGAATTTAACATTTCTTAACTACAAAAATTTTCCAATGATTTAACATGGCAATTTTTGTAAAATAACATGTAAATGTGTTGTTCAACTAAGATGCTGTGATTTTCCAGGTAACTAATTTGGAAAATTCTTAAGAAATTTTAATTGAGCATCGAGGAACTACAAATTAATAAGTATTGAACAGTATTGAGCACGCTACTATAAATCGATTCAACTAAAAAACACACAAAAAAAAAAAAACAGGTAGAAAAGAGTAAATAAATAAAAAAGTTAACAACTATTGACATTTCTCTAAGTTCTGATGACTAAGAATTAACAATAAATAAATAAATAAAATAAATAATAGCCCCAACTGTACAGAGGATCGTCTCTTAATCAGTCTCTTGAGAACTAATCTGATATTTACACAGCGGCGATTTTAAAGGGAAGACGAGTCCGTGGCAAGGCGAAAAAGAAAATCAATGGTCTTTCGGAGTGTAGGCTGAGTATGCGAGGTCGGACGACCTTTTAGAGAAGTAGCCGGCCAGCCCGGGAGGGTAGAAATTCGGAGGCGGCGTCGACGACGGCTCGTAGCCGCTTCTGCCCCAGAGGCTCCAGCCGTGGTGGTGATCGTCGCCGTGGTCGTGATCGTGGTGGTGGTGGTCGTCGTAGTGGTGCTGGTGGTGGGCGTTTTCGTAATAGATTACCTGGAAAAAAGAAAAATCGGCGTCAAGATGGTACTCTAATCGTTTACCTCGCCTCCTTGGCTCAAGAGATTGCAGGGTGCAGCGGTTCGGTACTCCAGTGGTGGGCCTGGGCCATGGAAATTCATCTCGTCCAAAGCACCCCATTTCGCCCGGTTTGAAGGAAAAAGTGATATGATATTTTCCTAAGATTCTACGGTTCAAGGAGTCATGCAACTGTTCAGGTGTGGTGGTGAAACTATTGGGAAAAGTGAGCCACCGGTAAATTACCCGGCTTGTTTAGAGTTGAAATGTTATTCGATCTCTTACTCTCTCTAATCATTCCAAATTTTGAGGGATGCGGAAAATTCTGATAAAACCAGAACTTCTCACAGGTACGATCTGTGACCGTGCTTGTTGTTATTCATCATCAACAACAACTACAAAAAAAGCACAACATTATCCTAGTTTTTCTTCTTTCTTATCGATTAAAAGCAACCCAGATATGTTATAATTGTACTGTAAAGCAGTTTTTTTATTTGAAAAGAATAGCTTGTTAATACAAAGAAACTAAGGATAAGGATTACATTTTAGAAGTAAACTATTGTACTCGGCATCTATCCGACTAATAGTTAGTAACCAATTTTCTTCCAGGCGTTTGACTAACCATTTCTCTATGTCAGTTATTACATAGAATTCTTTCCGCTTCGTATGTAATTTTACTTAACACAGTGCAAACCCTGCAATCACTGAGAATATGCGTTTTCGATAATAATACCAGTTCATCACCGCACAAACCATTCATCATGAAGTTGATTAAAATTCAGTTAGAGCCAACCCTTTGAGCCCTAATGATGAGCAAAACAAACTTTAGTAATTATGTTAAAAGGTATCGAGGAATCCCGTGAGTTTAGATTGGCGCCAAATAAATCAGTGTTGCCAATACCCCAGAATTGCTTGCTAACCTTAAACAAAACATTAAAGCATTGTTCTGAAGCAAATTTGGTCAAGAAAGAATTAAATTATAAACAGGATATGAACATTTTATATTTTGAAAATTTAATAATCGACACAAGAGGTTGGGTGAAGGAGTCACGTAGGAAATAGAAGATACCAGAGATTTTAGATAGGCGCCGAAAAAATAAGTATTGCTGAAACGCTTCGAGTAATTCGACAAACCAGCGGGTCAAGACGGACCTAATAAGTGACCGGTTCAACATGAGTTCACCGACTCGCAGACCAACACCCATCATCAACTCAAAGACTTAATCAGCCTTGTCATACCCGAACTTACCCATATTTTGTAATTGTCACAGATTATCGAAAATCTTAGGTCCTTTGGCTTTCCTAAATTTTGCAGACATTGCTTTCAGAAAGTCTTCTTAACCACTTTTTCTACTTCGCAGTTTTCAATCAAAAGGTAATTCATAGGTAAACGTATAATCGGAAAGATTATATATTTTTATCTATAATTATTTTTGAATTGCATCACATTCCAAACCTACTTTTACCGCTAGACATAAAGGAAAATGGTTCCAAACACTTTCCTCGCTTAGAACAGCCAGTTACGCGTGCAGAAAGTGAAACAGGGAAATTCACATTACAGATTGTTGTGCACATTTTTAATTTAAACTTTAACATTTTTAATTTGCTGAGACATTTGAAAAAGTTGATAGCTTGACCGCCACCATGGCGTCATATTCCTGGTAAAATAATTGACTCCAGCCTGGAATCATTCCCAGTGAACATGCTAATTTGGAAAGGAACGGATCCTTCCATGCCCTGCCGTTGCCTCAGGGCAACAAATTTGCTGAAGCTTAGCTAATCCCATGGTATTAAGGCAAGGGCAGTATTTTTCCTTCAATTTTCCATCCTGTGTATTGGCAACATTGATTTTTTCCGCGCTAATTTAAAATCTCTGGAATCTTCTTTTTTCAACCCCACAACTGCAACTTGGATCAATTGTTTTATTTGCCAAACAAAAAATATTTCGTAACCAGTTTTTAACTTAACCATTTCTTGGCCAAAGTTGCTTCAGAGCAATGCCAACTTCAGCAATTTTTTTAAGGATAACAGGAAACCCCAGGAGTTCAGGACAGGCGCAGTGATGTCACCGCTCTGTTTTTGCCCGTGTATTGGCAAACACTGATTTATTTGGCGCCAATTTAAGCTCTATCACTAAACTCACGGAATTTCCCGACCAACAGGCTCAAATGGCTGCAGATTGTAAGATACGCGTGAAAGACCACAAGCTGATGACCTAAAGCTTTTTATCTGCCACTAAACTTATATCTAAACTTATAATTTCAATAAGTACAAAATATTACTCAATTACAACTAATAAACTAACAACTACAATAAATAACTAGTTAAGATAACACGTCCAAAGCCGGGAACACACTTAGCCGATGATACGCCATGCGACGCTACCCGACGCAAATCCAAACTCCGATTTTCCATAAGTTGTATTACCCCCGTGCACATCTACCCGATGCTATGCCACGCTAACCTACCCGACGCTCTGCGATCCCCACTGTCCAGATTTTCGTCGGGTCGCTGAAGACAAAAGAACGGGACACTCATATTTTTATTCAAACTACATGTATTATTGTCGTTATATTAATTACAACATACTTATTTTAATATAAACCAAATTAACTGTGATTAAAAATTAATTAGTTTTTATTAAAAAAATTAATTTTAATGGTTTGGTAGAAAATTAATCAAAACAGCGGAATACGATTTTTTGATATAATGAATTTAGCTAACAATTTATTGTACTCGCTTCAGCGGTACATATACTAAAATTGGAACAAGTTATTACACGGTTTTAGTCATAAAATTTAATTAACAATTTATTTCATAGTTTTGCTCGTAAAATTACACCATTTTCGTCGGGTAGCATCAGAACAGGACACTCATATTTTTTGTAGTTTATTTCAAACTAAGTACATGTAATTTTGTCGTTATATTAATTACAACATGTTATTTTAATGTAAACCAAATTAAACGAGATCAAAAATTTTAGTTTTTATAAACATTGTTTAATTATGATGGTTAAGAGTAAGTTTATTTAAAACAATTAAGATTAACAAACAATTTATTAGATGGTTGTGTTTATAAAATTTAACTAACAATTTATTACAAGGTTTTGCTCAAAATAGTGCATTAAGAACAAAAGAAGCGTTGCGATTGTGATAGTGATTATTGTGATAAACGCTGTGGACTGTACGCGACTTGTGCTTGCGTCGGTGCACACCCCACCAAAACGTGGCAAAGACGTCGGGTAGTGTCGCATGGCGTAGCATCGGGTAAGTGTGTTTCTGGCTTAACTGTTTGTGAATACAGCTATCTTTTTTTTCACAACTAGCACAAATGTTAAGGAGTTTAACACAAAAGTGATGTAAAAAATTTTCATGTTATTTTGGGAGGTATATCGTCTGTATCGAGTTCGTAATGAATGGTTTGTACACAGCACGCTCTAATGACGCTTTATAAATCTGATTATATTATTTGGAACGTTTCGCGCCCGATCTGGAGCATTAACACGATAATTAAACCATTATGGGTAATTACGTAAACAAAAATACTACCTAAAACAACCAAGTTGTTTTCGCACCATAGTTTACTATAATAAAAATTGTGCTTTGAAATGCTTTCTCTTTATTTTTTTTTCACAAAATTTAAACGCTGAAACATGAAAAGTGAACATAACGAGACTAGTCGGACATATATTGTACTGTATAAATCAATTTATGTTTAGTGGTCTAATTGACCATATTAATTATTTCAGTTAATTATTCTTTTTAAGTAATGTCTTGGCTGAGATGGAAAGGTTAGTGTCACAAGCGGGATTCGAACCTACGACCTTCGGCTCAATAGAGAGATAGAGCAGCGGCGTATTGAGCCGAAGGTCGTGGGTTCGAATCCCGCTCGTGACCCTTAACTTTTTCATCTCAACCAAGACCTTAGATAAAAACAATAATTAATTGAAATTGTATCGTATATTGAACTCTCCGTAAAATAAAAATATGTTGTACGTCACACTCTCTGGCCAAAACACGGAAGTGACCTCCTTTGTCAACATCCAGGCCAGAGATTTCAAACCTTCTGGAGCGGTAAAAACAAAATAAATAAATTTTCAAAAAATAAATGTTTTCCAAATTACAAAATAATTAAGTATAATTAAAAATTGAGAATTGGACGAGATTATGTGCAGAATGCGCCAAAAAAATTAATTTCCCAGGATATACGATGTGACTATTTATGGGATTAAGACTTTCTTCGACAAACGGGAACTTTCTCGTCAAGGAATGTTTTCAAAGATCCTGTTTTTTTCTCTTATTTTATTAATAGATCCACCCTACTATTTGATTTATATAAAAATAAATAAAATCATTTGGATTCTTACCTAAATCCATGCCAAATTCTGATTTCCTACGAATAAATAAGAGGAAAAGCTTACCTTCTGAGGATGGTGTTTGTGCTTCATCTCTATCCAGAGCTTGACGGCGTGAATGATGACGAGGATGGTGGCGAGGAGGGCTCCTTTGAACTGCAGAAACGTCTGGAAAGCGACGAGAAGCATCTTCAGCTTGTGCTTGATGAGGAGGGCTATCAGCACTAGCTTGATGATGGCCTTCTTGATCGCCTTGATTTTCTTCTTCTTCTTGTGTCCTCTCCCGTCTGTCATAAAATATACACACCCTATGTTAAGCCCCGTTCCCACATACTCAACATATACATATACCCTCTCGTGTTTTTTCCTTATAATCTTTTTTTTTTCTTTTTATTTGTTTTTAATATAGATTATATATTTTTCTTCGATAACTACTTATTTACTTTGAATAAATATGAATTTATATACAAAATGTCACAACGGATAAAAAGCGTTGATAATTTCTTATGGTTAGTTAAAATCCAATAAATTTTTGTTTTTTATTTGATTAGTTGTGTATCGTCTTGTTTCGCTGTTTTAGCTACATAAGAGTGATACTATGGCTATCAGAGATGAGATTTTATGAATAAACAAAAATTCTTTAAAAATAGTTGTTAAAACGGTCAATTATGGGCTAAGGATCAGAATAGTTGCGACATTCTGTACATTGAATTTAAAGTACGTATTTATGTACTTTAAATAATTAAATTAAGTACCAAAGTACCAATCTACGTGTTATTTGTAATAAATGCACAAAATAGTTTCCATTCTCAAATATGTTTTTTTTAAATAGATAAATTTAAAATCTAATCAAGCAGGTGTCTATGCTGAACCCGCAAAGCATTCTCATGTATGTGTCATGAAATTTTTCGGATGTATTCAACATTATCAACTTGTTAAGTATTTATTAAAAAATAAAAATAAACAGTTATGCTTGCAATTAGGCCTGGTTTATAACTCCGGACTTCCTTTTCCTTGGTGTATAGGTGAGACTATTTTTATCTCGTAATTATAATTTTCTAGGTTGGGAAGTGGAGTAATGAAAAGCCTAATTATGCTCATTACCACAACTCCGCACTAGAATAAATTCTCAGTGCGGAAAAAAGGTTTTTATGTAGACTACATTGTATTTACTGTCACACTGCCATGGTTTTATAAGCTTATATATCGTCCTGAAGATACAGGCTTTTCGAGGGTCTAATTCAAGCCAATCTCCGTTTTTTTTTTTTTTTCAAAGGTCGACCTATGTAAATATAACGGAATTCAACTTAAAATTCCATTCTAAAGGGTTTCTGTTCCATCGAAACCCGTTATACTCTCACCGCAAAACGGTCGTTATCAGCCCTGACCGCAAAGGGTGGTAGCGAACGAAAATGACGCATGCACAGTTTATTCCGTTTACAATTTGCCTCGTTGACGATTATGTCTAATTATACTCGAATGAAAGCCGAGGGATGAGAGTCATTGTTACCTATCATTTTGGTCTATCCTCGCTGATTTATGTTAATTCAGACACTTTCGGAATTTCGCCATTTTCCGGGTTTGGGTGATTTCTACTCAAAGCAAACCAGGATGATAGGTAGCAATCAAACTATACGTTTATCACCTCGCAGATTGCAGGATGATAGGTAACTAACTGTCAAACTATAAGTTTATCACCCAACATGTAACTACCGAACTATATAGGTTTATCACCTCGCAGATCATAGAATGATAGGTAACTGTCAAAACGTAGGTTTATCACCCCGCACATCACAGGATGATAGGTAACTATCAAACTAAAGTTTATCACCCTGCAGATCACATAATGATAGGTAACTGTCAAACTACAGGTTTATTACCCCGCAGATCACATAATGATAGGTAACGGTCAAACTACAGGTTTATCACCCCGCAGATCACATAATAATAGGTAACTGTCAAACTACAGGTTTATCACCCGGCTTATCACAAGTTGCAGTGTCAGAATCATCTCTTAGACCGTCGGTTCTTCAATTTGTCAGACAGATGGCATAAACGTCAGCATTCTCTTCAATGTGCAGAGGTGTTAGACATTATTTTTTTTATATCGCTCGGTAAAACGAAATAGCAGGACTATTAAAATGCAGCATTTTCATTGTAATCGCTTAGGCCTTTCTTTTTTAAACCCGGTTGTTTAGATTAAAGAAATTTGACAAAAAACTTAAGGAAAAAACTTAAAAATTGTATATCATCCCCCTGAAAGTGTAGGTTAGCCAAAGTCGACAGCCGAAATGCTCCTTCGCCAAATTAGCACCGCCTTGAAAACCTTTTGTCACAAAAGAGAATAGTCTCCTCCGTTCGAAGATTTGCTCGTTGGAAAATGAAATCCGATATAATTAACTTATAAATTGGGCTGACCTGAAAATTAGAACGTACATTATTTTTGAAATAATACAAATACGATGGGAGCTTTCGATTAGACTGGCATGTCAGACAGAGGCTAACCTACGTAACGAGTGTCCACCACCAAAAAAAAGGCAAGAGGGTACTTAAATACAAAACAGCATATGACAACTACCATGCATTTAAGAAACAGTTTTATTTTAAATGCTAAAATCTACAAATAAATAAATAAATTAATAAATTACATGCTTACAAATAAGAGTGATACACTATGACTTGGGCGGTCACCTTTGTCAGTTCTATTCACAGTCATTTGTCACCATTTCTACTCGACTACTTACAATTATAATTTACAAGTCAAAAAAGACGGCATTTTACAAAAGAGCTGTTAACAAGGCATGCCACCGGGCGTACATGCTTGAGCAAACAAACAGTTAATTTGAGTCGATTTGAATTCACACAACACTCGTCTTCTTTTTTTTTTGTCTTATTCTCAAATTTTGTGAAACTCTACTTGAACTACATGCACAATTTACAACGAGAGTACTACATGGTTAAGACGAAAGATTACGAGAAAAACAACCTACTGCAAGTCTGTTACATGCACATTGTTTGCAGTCTACTCATAGGCAATAAAGAAATTATTATCATTTTTATTATATAATCGATCCGGATATAAACGGCACACTGTGACTTCGTATATCGTCTTATTGGAAAATAAAGTCTGACATGCCAGTGGGATTAAATTCTAAAATGTGACACTAGGTTACAAGCTTTTTGAATCACGCAGCGGCAAAAGCTCGTAATTTCGCCTCCTAGATTGAAACTTTCATTTTCAAAATTTCTATCACGCCAACTTGGTTTTTAAAATTTCATTTTTATCATCTAAAATAAAATTACCTGTTTAAAAAAAATTAGATAAAGTTACAAATCCTATGTTGAAGGGGGCAAGTTAATGAAAATACAAGCATTGTTAAAAAAGGGGCTGAAAATTAACCCTTGTGAAGCTCAAAAGTGACTTTTTTTCAAAAATACTACAACCATGACCTTAGGTTTTATGATTTTAAAACACAAATAATTTGAAATCGTTGAAGGAGTATTTTTTTAAATTATAATTTTATTGAATTTTTATTTTAAAAGTGTTTCTTTGTATTGTAAATATATGTAATTATATAAATATTTTATGCCAATATTATTTGTAATCAGAAAAAGAAGATGGTGTGTCTTTGCCTGAATCAGTTGGTTATGGTGGAATGAAAATATTATTCTATATTGAACAGGAACTAAATAAACTTGTAAATAATGCCTGGTCGGAGGCGTGATAGACCTTTTAAAATTTCAATTTAATAGGCGAAAAAATTTGCTGGTGACAAAAGGTTGTCAACTAGTGTTTGACTCATAGTAGGTTGATATTTGTGTCCGGGGAAAAGAGAAAGAACACACGAGCAAATCTCCAACGGGTCACAATCTGCCCTTTATAAACGGAAGGACTATGAAAGGTGAGGCCGTTGGGCGGAGGCGGAGGCGGAGGCGGGCGCCTGTGCGTGGTACGCGACTGCGTGAGCGTCGGCCCTCGAGTGCCAGGGCCAACCCCCGGACCACGGGGGCGGCGAGTCGATCGGGGCGCCGTAGTGGCCCCCGGGCACCTCGTCGTAGTGGTGGTCGTGCACAGACACCTCCTCGTGGACCTCCTTTTTCTCCTCTTTCACCCACCAAATGTATCGCTTCAGCTCGAGCAGCTTCACTATAACGAAGATTTTTAAGGCAAAGATCAATTTGGCGAAGATGGCCGTCCTGGCGACTTTGTCGAACATGTAGAACAGCTGGCTCTTAATAAAGTAGATTATGAGCAGGATCACCGTCATGGCAACCTTCACTTTCTTGTCTTTCTTGTACTTGCCCCTGGCTGTCAAACCGGGATAAAGTGTTATTTAAATACAAAACAAACAAGTAATCAATTCAATTCAAATCACATATCATGCACACCTCTGGGTTCGACTTTCCTCCTTCACCCTTCAACGTACTGAATAGAAAACACTGAAATTTCACAAGTCAGGTTAACCTGATACTGCATACTGCTCCAATGATAAAGGGAGTTTAGTCAAATCTAAGACAAAAAGTAAAAATGCCCAAAATCCACAATTACACTTTATTACAAATATGTTAACCTGATATTTTCACTCAAACTTACATAGATACGGGCACTGGACTTAACATAAAATCTTTTCTGTGATGCTGGGTCGACAAATATAATACAGTCCGAACGTTCTTGCCAATTGGCTCTATATAAAGTACGTTTACATACCGTTGCTGTATATATACTTCAACTTTATTGTATATCAGTCGATTTGTTTTCCAACTTGGGTTAAGAAAATAATAGGAAGTACTGCCGTAGATGAGAATTTTTTTAAAAGAAAAAGTTACAATTTTTTTTCGAGGGTTCGCAACAGCAAAGGTCATATAAACCCTCGGGATGCCGGTGTTTTTGAAAAAAAAAAACCATTTGTATGTATGTCGGGTTCGAATGCAGGGCCGCTGGATTCGAACCCGGTACCTTCACCTTACCGTGATGAGCGCCGTGTCAACGCCTGAACCGTTCCGGCCACCGACGCCCTCTTTCAATTATTGTAAAGTTAATTGAATGTAAATAAAATGCATTTAAGCATGAGCGGGGCTAAATTGACCTAGCTGTTGACAGCACCTGGAGCCAAACTCGGCTGGACAGGATAAGACAGAGGTCGGGAACGATAAACATTTAGTTGATATTTTTATATCGATGGTTAGGGCTGGGTTAAGTGTAAGATCAATCATTCAATCAATCAATCAATAGGAGTTCATGTGCATATAGAGAAAGGTTGCTCAATGACCCACCTGAATGAATGGT